AGACTCTGAATCCTATTTAATCTTTTTAAGATGTCCTCTTGTTGACTTGTAGTATAAGGGCCATATGTTCAGCTTCTTGCTGGGTCCCACTGACACCACTCTGGCAGAAGTGAAGCACTGATTCCCACTGCCTCATTGAAGACAATAGGGTAGAAGTTTAACTCTTCTCTTAACCTTGCTGAAACCTTTCTGGTGAAAGTGGTGCATCACCTTGCTCCACATTGTTGTTAGTATGAGATATTCAGCTCCCTGCTGGACCCTGTTAACACTGAGAGGGGAAGGGAAGTAGAAGGTTGACTCATACTGAGAGTGCAGTAACATCTCCACTGATGTTGATGTATATGAGGGTGGAGTGTCATCTCCCTTAAAGGCCTCATTAACACAGTAAAGGGAGGGTGAAGTAGAGCGGTGACTAGTCCTATCTTGCACTGCCTCTTGGTCTAACTTCTGCTGGGTTGGGGGAGTCTCGGCTCATCACTGGACCCTACTGACACTACCCTACAGGAGGAATCAGAGCATAACCTGTTTCCACTGGGCTGGTGATAGAATATCAACTCCCTACTTGGTCCCCACTACCATATTCTGGCAGGGAAATCAGAGAACTGTCTACCCTGCTATGTGAGAGATGGAAGAATAGCTCCCTGATCACCCCACCAACACCACTGGCAGAGGGGATTCAGAGATCTGCCACCTGCTTCTGTCAGGTGGCAGGGGGTGAGCTGGAAGATCAGCTCCCTTCTTGGCTCTGCTGAAACTCTGGGGAAGTTAAGTAGCTTTCTCATTGGCATTTGGCTGGAGTAGGGAGGGTATGCCATAAAAGGCTTTCTGTTCTGTTAGTCCACCCTTGTCTTGGGTCCTTTGGCAAGAGGGAACAGGCTTTTCTACGTGCTTTTCTTCTCTGCCTGTTGGTGGTTCCAGGTTGGAGGCTGGGTAAAATGGGAGACAAAAAGAAACCCAGGTAACTCACTGCCATGTCATTCCTCAAGTCCTGAAGTCCTAAGGCAGTCTGATTTCTTCTTCCTACCTTTCAGAGGCTTTCTATGCTTGTTTATTTTTTAATATAAACAAACAAAAGTCCAGGGATTTTTAATTGTGAGAGGAAAGATTTTGGAAGAACAGGGCTACTCCACCTTGGTTAGAACCAAAAGTCTTCTCAGTAGGAACACTTTTGAACTTGACAAACTCAGTGTAATATCTGGAGCAATTAATACATGAGCCAACAGAATAAAAAAGAAAAACAACATACAACCTTTCCTACTATACAAAAAAAGCACTATAATCATAATAGTATGGTGCTAGCAAAGGAACAGATGAACAGATCAATGAAACAACAGTTCAGGAAGAGAGAGATTTGTGTATGTGCATGTGTGTGTCTAGGCATATGAAAATTTAATACATGGTACCTGAGGCAGTTCAAACCATAGGGGGAAAAGATGGATTTTTCAATAAATTGGGCTGGGGAAATAGATATATTTGGAAAATATTATGAAAGTTTAGTCATCTCATTTGTAAATAAAAACAAATTTATACCAATATAAATTACAAATATATTAAAGAGTTAATACTTAAATATCTCTATTTTAAATAAATTTAGCCAAGTGGCAGTATAAATTGGCTTAACTACCTTGGAAAACAGTTTGATTTCATCCAGAAAACATACATTACTAAAACTCAGGAATCCCATTCCTCAGTATATATTTCAGAGAAACTCTTACACAGGATATTTTATAAGACTTTTATAGCATCATTTTTCATAATAGTTCCAAATGGAAATAAGTTGAATATTCTTCAACAGAAGGATGTCTCAATAATTTGTGGCACAATGCACTATTTTATAGCAAAAAATAAAACAAAAAAATAAACCAAAAACAACCCCCCAAAAACCTTAGCTATAGACAACAACCTGATGAATCTCACAGTATTGAAAAAAAGAAGCAAGGCACAACAGATTGAATACAATGCGACTCAATTCATACAAAGTTCAAAGAGAAACAAAAATAAATTGTAATATTTAAGCATGTATACATATATAGTAAAACTAAATAAAAGAAAGGAACTGATAATGATAAAAATTCAGGGTATTGGGTGGAAGAGATGGTTGTGATTGGGCTAGGAATGTATTTGCTGTTTATCCCTTAAGGCTTTGGCCAAGCAGCCATTCAATATGAGGTGATTTACGGTAAATTATAAATGTATGCTTAATTCAAACTATATATGAACTAAATAATGATTTCTGGTGCTAGAAGCATTGTGAAAGATTACCACATCTGACAAAAATTGAATTATGCTTCATCAACCAATCATATCTTTTTAATAGTAAATGTACACATGCATATTTATTTATACACGGTATACTACAAAGAGTATATTTCAAATTTAGACTTAATTGTACTATTTAGGTAATTTAAAATTACTCATATACTAGCCAAATAAAATAAACATTACAACCAGATGTTTCAAATTTCCTCCAATCAAAACAAAAAGATATCAGCTGAAAATACTAATGGTGCCAAAAAATGCTGAAATATTTTATGACTGTTTTTCTTCCAACACTTTTGAAAGGAAGAATCAATTTCACATTTTTTTATGCCTCAGGCCTCAAACTCTCTAAAGCTGTTTTAGATACAGTAACTGATGGAAAAAAATCACTATTACATGTCATCCATGAATCATGTTTTTTTTCAAGGAATCTCTTGAGGAGTAACTGTTAAAATTCTATAATTAAAAAGAAAACACGGGCTTCCCTGGTGGCGCAGTGGTTGAGAGTCTGCCTGCTGATGCAGGGGACACGGGTTCGTGCCCCGGTCCGGGAAGATCCCACATGCCGTGGAGCGGCTGGGCCCGTGAGCCATGGCCGCTGAGCCTGCGCGTCCAGAGCCTGTGCTCCGCAACGGGAGAGGCCACAACAGTGAGAGGCCCGCGTACCGAAAAAAAAAAAAAAACCACAATGAAAAACACTACTCCTTTAGAGAAGTCACTACTAAAAAATTGAAAACATTTCTGCTAATTAATTAAAAGAGTATATTTATCCTCTGTTTCTAGGATGGGCCTTCCCCAAGGCAACAGTTTTGGGCCACTATTATGATCTCATATAGCTCTTTTAGGCAATTCCACTAACTAGCATGGCCTCAGCTAACTTTTTCATAATGACAAATCTCAGTATCAACTGAAAGACAGAATTATCTTTCTTTTGAGTTACAAGCTGATTTACCCAATGGCTTAGTGGATATATGGTTATCTAAGAGGAACCTCAAATTCAGTAAGTCCAAAACTTACCCTATTTCCTCTCAAACTTATTCCTTGTTTTGTATCTCCTCTTTAGGTTAACACCAACACAACCTACTCAGATTCCCAAGGCAGAAACCTAGGTCAACCTTTCCAGCTTCCCTTAAATATCCAATAAATCACCAAGTATTGTTGATTCTATTTTCTTAAATAATATTTCTTGAATCTGAGGCTTTTTTCTTCAGCCTCACTGCCACTGCTTTAGTTCAAGTTTCAATCGTTGCCTATATTCCTGCAATCTGGTCTCCTTCCTTATAGATGGAACCTCTTCTCCACTGAAATAATTTTTCTCACTCATCAAAGAAAAACCTAATAAAATCACCAACATGATTATGCCACTTTCTTTCTTAAAATCACATAATGGCACCCCATAGTTTTCAGTTTAAAAATCCAAATTTCTTAACATGGCATAAAGGCCCAATGACAATCCTACATCTCAACAATCTTTATTTTACACGTGTGATCTATCTGGTGTCATATTATCTCCTATCTATGCATTCACAAGTGCCTCTGCTTCTGTACAGAATTCCAATTTGCTTAGTACACCTCTTAGAAAGATTTTGCTGATTATCTTTTTTGAATGACCAAGTGTCCTTCCTTCCTATGTATTTCATAGAATGCTTTGTTTACCTTTATCACTTAACACATATTGCAACTGTAATATAAGACAGAGCACCTTTAAGCACCACAAAAAATTAATTTCAACAAGCTCACCTTTATTAATTCCCATTTTATTTTCCGAAAAATGAGAGATATGGATTAGACATAAGGTTCCTCTCAGCCAAACTACTTTATGAATTTATGTCAAGTTGGAAAGAGTCTCTTGACACTCCTGACTTTTTTCCCCCACTTGCTGCTAGAATACAATCATGGTATTAATTACTGGTGTTGTCCACACAGAACACCTGAGATACTGAAAGTAACAGTATAGAACATAAACATGAATTTAACTTATTTAAAAATAATGTAACCAAGTTTAGGAATTATTTACTAAGATTTGAATTTATTGAACTTGATTTAGAAAAGTTTGATCAAATCAAACTTAACAATTTGTTGAGATCTTTACATGTACTGTTAAGAGGCTCAACTCGTCTTGTTTACCCTTGCTATCCAATTGTTAAATTTTATTCAAGGAAAAGACTAAGTTCAGTTCTCTTTAGACTGTAAACTGCTTTTAGGAAAGGGCCACGTGTTATGCTAGAAGACTAATAGTCCACAGGATTTAGTAAAATGTTAGAGACAGAAAAATGTAACAATGCTGTAATATTCAAAGAATAAGGTCAATTTTTCATGTATTGTGCTGTAAATTTTAAATTGAGATTGACCTACTGTGTTATCAAAGGAACCAGGAACTATATACTAGAAGACTAATATTATTTATAATTGGTGAAAGATGATAGGGAAAAGAAATTAAAACAAGATTTTAAAAAGTCCATTATGCATAGTAATGCTTATAAAGTGTTTTCTTAAGTAAATTTTCAATGAAGTTTACAAGAAAGGGTTGCTTTCTTGATTCTCCTAACATGTATTGATGATGGTAGATGAAATCTGATGATGATTATCTGATATGTATATTTTAATTCAAACAGGATAACGGAATTAAATGATGTCCTAACACTGCCAAAGATTCAACAGGATAAAGAAAAAACAATTATTTGCCCACCTTCCCACTGAGACACTGATTCTTTGTAGAGGTGAAAAACGCCATACTATACCTTGATTTCTTCTATTTCATCTGGTACTATCTTGTATGCTGATATAGTCCCACCCAACCTGAAATTAGGAGAAAAAAATATTCTCAAAACCGGCAACAGTGTATTAAAAATATGGACTATTTCTTCCATTAGCATCAGAGTGCCACCAATAATTGCCCATTACCCACCCCAATAACCATGGAGGAAAAACAACCATTCGTGCTCAGGTTTTCCATATAGTAGTTTAAAAAGATAGACAGTAAATGACTACTGAAAGAGGAAACATAAGTTAGATTTTTAATCATAATTAAACTTCTCTTATCAATGGTTTTAATGATGCTCAAACTGTCACTTTTACTGATAGATTCTGTCACAACTAAGATGTATCAAGAACAATAGCAGACATTTCTATTTTCATGGCATCATGAGACACAGCTAGGTTTAGAATATCTATCAATTTAACATACCATCAGTATTCTATAGTATTGTACTCAGGAAGACTGATTCCAAATTTCATGTTCTTTCCCTTATAACACACTGCTTTCCTCACTAAAGGAATCATTCTAGAGGTAAAGTGCTCTTTTACTCTAATCGCAATTTTTCAAAGGTCCCACAACTAGGAGTGGCAGACTGGGCTTAAGAACTCACTTCCAGAAACTGATAAGCAAATTCTAAAATTCATATGGAAATTCAAGGAACACATAACAGTCAAAAAATCTTGAAAAGAAGAAAGCTGGAGAAGTTACACTTTCTGATTTCAAGTCACTACAGATCTACAATAATCAAGACAATGTGGAGCTGGCGTAAGGATAGACATATAAAGCAATAGGGTACAACTGAAAGTCCGGAAACAAACATCACATTTATGGTCAACTAGTTTTTGTTTTCCTTTTTATTTTATTGTAATAAATATAGTTAACATTTTAACCATTTTTAAGTGTACAGCTAAGTGACAATTACATTCATAATGATGTGCAACCATCATTACTATTTATTTCCAAAACTTATCCATAACTTAAACAGAAACTCTGTAATCATTAAGGAATAACTCCTAATTTTCCCCTTCCCCCAGGCCCTGGTAACTCCTAAACAACACTGTCTTTACGAATTTGACTATTCTAGGAAACTCACATAGAGGAATCATACAATATCCGTCCTTCTGTATCTGGCATATTCCACTCAGCATAGTTCTCAAGCTTTATCCACATGGTAGCATGTATCAGAACTTCAATCTATGAATTACTCAATCATATGGTAATTCCATATTTAGCATTTGAAGGACTGCCAAAGAGTTTTCCACAGTGGCTGTACGATTTTACACTACCACCAAGAATGCATGATGGTTCCAATTTATCCACATCTTCATCAATACTTGTTATTCTATTTTTTTAATGGCTACCCTAATGGGTGTAAACTGGTAACTCATAGTTTTGAGACTCGCATTTCCCTAATAAGCAGTGATATAGAGCATGGGTCCCCAACCCAGGGAACGGTGGGCAAGCGATGGGCAAGTGACTAAAAGCTTCATCTGCCACTCCCTGTCCCTCGAATTACCACCTAAACCATCCCGCCCTGCCCTGTCAGTGGAAAAATTGTTTTACATAAAACCGGTCCCAGGTGACAAAAAGGTTGGGGACCACTGCTACAGAGTATCTTTTCATGTTCTTATTGGCCATCTGTATATCTTCTCTAAATAAATATCTATTCAAGTGCTCTGGCAATTTTTAAATTGGGTTGTTTGTCTTTTTGCTGTTGAGTTGTAGTTTTCCATATATTCTGGATATTAAACTCTTACCTAAGATATTATTTCCAAATATTTTCTCTCATTCTGTAGGCTGTCTTTTAACGTTCTTGATAATACTTTGATTCACAAAAACTTTTAATTTTGGTGCCGCACAATTTATGTATTTTTTTCTTTTCGTGCTCACTTTACTGGTGTCATGCATAAGAGTCCATTGCCAAGCAGAAACTAACACACCATTGTAAAGCAATTATACTCCAATAAAGATGTAAAAAAAAAAAAGAATCCATTGCCAAATCCAAGGCCTTGAAGATTTATCCTTATGTTTTCTTCAAAGTGTTTTATGGTTTTAGTTCTTCTATTTAGAACACTAATCTGTTTTGAGTTCATGTTTGAATACGGTGTGAGATATGGGTTCAAGTTAATTCTTTTCCATGTGGAAATCCAATCATTTAGCAACATTTGTTGACAAGCTTTTTCTTTCCCAAAGCTGTTGTCAAAGCTTTGACGTAGCACCCTTGTCTAAAATGAATTTTCCATAGATACGGGTTTATTTCTGGATCCTTAATTTTATTCAATTGGTCTATAGGTCTATCTTTTTGTGGTTCTCAGCATAGAAGTCTTTTACCACACTGGTTAAATGTATTCCTAGGCATTTATTTTCAGATGCTATTTTAAATGGCGTAGCTTTTAATTTCCTTTCAGATTGTTTATTGCCAGTGTATAGAAACAAGTAATTTTCATGTGTTGATCTTGTACCCTGTAACTTTGCTGAACTTGTTTATTTTTTTAAATTTATTTATTTATTTTTGGCTGTGTTCAGTCTTTGCTGCTGTGCACGGGCTTTCTCTAGTTGCGTGGGCTTCTCTTGTTGAAGATCATGGGCTCTAGACGCGCGGGTTAAAGTAGCTGTGGCATGCAGGCTCAGTAGCGGTGGCTCGAGGGCTCTAGAGCACAGGCTCAGTAGTTGTGGTGAATGGCCTTAGTTGCTGCACGGCATGTGGGATCTTCCTGGAGCAGGGGCTGAACCCGTGTCCCCTGCATTGGTAGGCGGATTCTTAACCACTGCGCCACCAGGGAAGTCCCTGAACTTGTTTATTGACTCTAGTAACTTTCTTGTGGATTATCGATATACAGGATCATATTATCTGTGAATAAAGGTAGATTTACTTCTCACTTAACAGGCTGGATGCCTTTTATTTCTTGTCCTTGTCTAAATACGCTGGCTAGAACTTCCAATGCAACGTTCAACATCAGTGGTGAAAGCAGGTATCTTTGTCTTGTTCCAGATATAAAAAGAAAGCTTTCCATTTTTCACAACTGAATATGGTGTTAGTTGTGGGGTTTTCACAAATGCCTTTTATCAGGTTAAGGAAGTTCCCTCTGTTCCTAGTTTTCTGAGTGTTTTTACCATGAAAAGAATGCTGGATTTTTGTTAAATGCTTTCTCTGTGTCAAATGAGATGATCATGTGGTTTTCTGCTTTTCAATCTTTCTATTAATGTGGTATTATTGCAGTGATTAATTTTCTTATATTGAACTACCCTTGAACACCTGGGGTAATCTCACTTGGTCACTGTGTATAATTCTTTTAATATGTGGTTGCATTCAGTGTCCTAATACTTTCCTATTTTGCATCTATATTCATAAGGGTTATTACTCTATAATTTTTCTTTCTTCTGGATGTCTTTATCTGGCTTTGGTAGCAAGGTAATTCTGGCCTCATTGAATGAGTTAGAAAGTATTTTCTCCTCTTCTGTTTTATGGAAGAGTTTGAAAAGCATAATGTTAATTCTTTAAATGTTTGGAATAATTTACCAGTGAAGTAATCTGGTCCTAGACTTTTCTTTGGTGGGAGATTCTTTTTTGTAATTAATTTTTATTGGAGTATAGTTGTTTTACAATCTTCTGTTTGGTGGGAGGTTTTTAATTGTTGAAAATCTGTTTACTTGTTACAGATCTGTTGAGACTTTCTATTTATTTTTATGTCAGTTTAGGTAATTCACATGCTTCTTGGAATTTGTCTATTTCATCTAGGTTACCAAATTTGTTGGCATACAACTGTTTAGAGGATTTTTTATAATCATTTTTATTTGTGTAAGATCAGTAGTAATATTCACATCTTTATTTCTGATTTGTTTTTGAGCTTCCTCTTTTTCTTAATCAATCTAGCTAATGGTTTGTCAACTTTGTTAATTTTTTCAGAGAACAAACTTTTGTTTTTGTTGACTCTGTACTGTTTTTCTATTCTCTATTTAGCTCCACCTTAATCCTTATTATTTTCTTCCTTGATCTTTTCTTTTTACCCTGCCTCCCTCCCTTCCTTACATTAATTGTCTTACGTATTTAAGCTGATTTTTTTTCTTTTTCTGTAGTGAATCATTTTAATTCCCTTGTCATTTCCTGTTTTACAACTTTTAGGTATTTTTTTAGTGGTTACCATGGGGAATACATTTAATATTCTAAATTTATAGCAATCTAGTTGACTGATAACAACTTAAATCATTATATGAAATGTCTGCTCCTAAACAGGGCTATCTTCCTACTTTTATGTTGTTGTCATAGCTAAGTTTGCTAGTTTTGGAGTTAGTTTTCTCTTTTTCTCTAGTCCTTCAGGGTATAAAGTACTGTATTTATCGAGGATGTTTCTTTCTTTTTGATGTGGACATTTATAGCTATATATTTCCCTTTGAAGAGTGCTTCCACTGCATCCCGTAAGTTTTGGTATGCTGTGTTTTTGTTTACATTTGTCTCAAGGTATTTTCTAATTAACCTTGTGATTTCTTTTTGAACCACTGGTTAAGAGTGAACTGTTTAGTTTCCATATATTGTGAATTTTCTAGATTCCCTACATTTTTGTTTGCTAGCATCTTTCCAATGTGGCCAGAGAAAATACTTGGAATGATTTCAATCCTTTTAAATTTACTGAGGCATTTTTTTTGTGTCCTAACATTTGGCTTATCCTATAAAATGTTCCAGGTCTTCCTTTGTGTATTATCAGCAATTCTCTTTTGAAACATGACTGTGCTTGTGTCTGTTAATTTACTGTTAGAATTAAATGTGATAATACATTTATTTCCTTAATGCAATTTCATTTAACAGGCTTCTAATTATATGACTTTTCTGAATGAATTAATCTATGTAATAAAAATAAAGGAATCTGTAGATAGTGATTGCCATTACTGAAACAGTTCCAGAAAAAAAATATTGGTCCAAATTCATTAGGAATAGAAATATTTAAAGGTAATTCAAAGTTGCTCAGAAATATTTTAATTTTCTCCCCAACTCTAATCTGCTTCTTCTACAGTTCTCCCCAGTTTTTGTTATGGTAAATGTTAA